CTTACATAATTTGTATGCGTGAACAGAGAAATCTATGTCAAGAAAAGTAAACAAGATGAAGGTCGTTGTAGACCAAAATCTCATGTTTGTTGGTGCCAAAAAAGTTCACATTTATGAAAGATTCCACATACAGCATCCTAAGATAGCAGCCAAGTGCAGCAGTATTTCACCTTTTCATAGTGGAGAGAAAAAAAAAGAGTTATTTATTTAAGCAGCTGAATGAACTTCAGACATAATGAAGCTCATTGTAAAACTGAATCATTCTATGTTCAAAACAAAACCCACAAAGATATTGTTTAATGAAGCAGTGCCCAGTGAATCTACAGCAAATAGAAGGCCATAAAGGTAGGAAGATGTTGTGTGTCCTTCATAAGGAATTCAGTGAGCTCAGCTGCAAGCAGTTGACAGAATCAGCTGCAGGCAGTTAACAGAATGGAGCCTGTTAGGGAGTGCTTATTTTTTTGAAGAGCAATGGAAAAGTCTCAAAAACGAAAGCAAATATGATTTTCCAATTTGTTATTGTAATAAATAAGTGGTACACACATGCATTAAAAAACTATATTGAATATAAGAAATTACAAAATGTAGTCTATGTTTTTACATTGTATTAAAGAAACCATTACCAAGATGATGTGTGTGGCCTTGTTTTTGAGACTTAAAAGAAGCTGAGTACACATTCTAGACTATGTATGAAAACAGACAAGAACTATTCAAAGCTAAGAAAATTGCTGGTGACATGAAAGTAAAGGAGCTCAGAGTTTTTGCTTTTATTTATGAAGAAGATAGATAAGATACAGCTTTCAAAGCAGGAAATTTCTGCTAATATGAAGGTATTTAACTTAGCATAAAAAGATGTAATGAGATGCAAAAGCCTGAAACTAAAGCTAAATATATTGATTCCACATATAGCATGACATTCTTAATAGTGAGGATAACAAAACGCTGGAGCAATACATTTCAGAAATCAAAATATAGAATATCTCATGTTAAGAGAGTAAAAATCAGTTTAAACCCCAGTTTTGTAATGAGGACTTAGGCATTTATTTAGGACTTAGGACTGTGGCATTTATTTGTACCAGAATTATGCACTGTCCTTAGTAGAAAATTAATGTGTATGAGACATGGAGAGACTCCATGAGGGAACTGTAAAAATATGTATTCCAGGAACTGAAAGTAGCTATGTTCAGAACTGCAACTCTAGGTGCTAAAGGTGCTGTTTCCATAATTGTTATCTTTTGACAAGATCTGCCCTGTGAAAAAGATACAATTGACAAACCTTCTGGTTGATTTAGGTGGTCAGTGGTGTGGTTGAATTCTTTGATCATTCTAGTACTTGACTATTTAGATAAATCCATTGGTGCTTTTTAAACTGATAAATCACTCAATTCAGTGGAATAAGTCTTCTGCAAGAAAAAAACTGTCCTATATTCAAGTTACACCCCAAGTCAATTCTGCACTTGGTTTATGTAATGGAGTAACACCAGCCCACAAGCATCTGCTCTTAGGGTGCTGTATAGTCCTACTCAAACATGTACCAGTCAGTGCAGATCAGATGACAAGGACTCAGAGCAGCAATGCTACTTTTGCAGCACCCCACAATTCCCAAATGTTTTAAAGGAGAGGCTGTAAATGGAGATTTCCCATTCCTGTATGTATCATTTTAATAAAGCAGTAGATGCAAGACCATGGTTTCTGCTCTAATGTTCACTTCTGTACATAGACTGTTCTTAGTAATGGAAAAAATTAGTTAAGTACCCAAAAAAAGTTAGAGCTGCTTGTTTACATAGTTTGGTGTCATTTTCTTCTATGGAAGAGTTTTGGTTTTGAAAAAGGTCCTATATGTGATTTAGGAGTTTTTACTTGAGATATCTGCTATCTGCCTTGGAAGAAGGTTCTTTATGACACCATATCTTCACTTCCTTGCCCCTGCAAAGAGGAATGAATCACACTGCAGTCCTTGTTATTGCTTGAAGATTTAATCTCGCACTACTAACGAGTCACTGTCTTCATGAAGGAAAACATGTCCTACCTCATCCCATTCTGATCCTAAGAAGTTAAATACCTGCTGCAAGTGACACTGGCCTCAACTTCCTGAGTCATTTCTGTAGTAATCTGCACTTTTGGTTCTCAGTGAACACCAAGGACTTTCAAGTCTTTGGATTCCATTACTACTAACGTCTGAGAAGAATGACACGCATCAGGTCTGTCTGTATCACATAGTAAAAATGAATCATGGAATAAAAAAGCTGTGGGGTACTGTAGAAAGTGTTCACAGATCATGCTATTAAAAGATTTAGTCATTGTTACCTCTCATCATGAATGTAATCATTCACTGACAACTTTAATTTCTAGGATGTGAGAGTGTAAATTCTTGGTTACTAATGTATTATGCTGTCATGGAAGTCTGCATCTTGGAAGATGAATCCAAGTATTGAAAATTAGTCATCTTAGCAACTGATTTTTTCCCAAGTAATTATAAGCTTTGGAATATCAGGATGTTGAAACACCCAGTCAGAAAGTGTTGCATACAAGTGAATGAAGAGCAGAAATCCTATTTCACTCTCACAGATCTTAAAACCAGGATTAAGTGTAGTTTTCAGAAAGAACACTTTTCTTTTAGAATGTTAGTACTGTCACACTTTCACTGCTTGATGTATGTAATTCTAATTCTACTTGTTTTGCTCTAGATCCCAAAAGACATCCAGACTTAGTTTCATCTTTTTTCCTTTTATGTATAAATTAGGATAATCTGGCATGACTTTGAAGGCCCTGGGAGATTCAACATAGTGATAAGAGAGAAGATAGTGACTAGCTTTTATTCTTGAAACTCATGGTGTCTACTTTGCAGTATTTATATTTACTGAGCCCCCCCCCCCTTTTAATATCCTCAGAGATACTCCATTCTCCCTGATATAGAGTATATATAAATATATGTACTATATATATATATATATATATATATATATATATATATGAGCAGAGTCATCATTTAATGAGAAGGCAAAAGTAAAAAGAATAAAGTCAGTCCTAAGCCTGACCTATAGGTACTTCTTCTGCTGTATGTCCTCTTGTAATACACTGTTGTGAAAAGATTTGATGAGGTAAGGTTGTACTTCTCCATGCTTGGCAGCAAAACACAGAATTTGCAGAAGATGGGCTCAAGTGCCAAGAACATATGCCAAGTCATCATATCTCTTCAGCTCCTTCTGCTGGAAGGGCCTCACTGCAGCTCCCAGAATGTTTGAAAACCACCAGCAGTCAGTGCTAATGCTGCTATTTAAGCATCAGTTCTCACTTCAGGGCAACTGGCCAGATGAAGCAGACAGCACAATTTCTCTCTTATTTTAGTAATTTGTGAGTACTTTAGTAATTTGTTTTTCAGGGTGAACACTGATGCATATAAATGTGAATTTTTGGAGAGTGCTTTGTTTGTTTGGGATATGCTGAGTGAAATAATCTACTTTGCTAGGATGTTTCCTAGAAAACTGACTTAGCATGATACTGAGCTGATGCTGGGGGGTGACAGATGCTTAATCAGGACAATGCAGCTGTAATTTTCATTAAGAACAATCATTAAGTAGTGCCATGTATTTGCACTGAGTATTAAACTCAGATTAAAAGGAAAGCACTTTTCTCTTAAAAGTTCCAGTTAGCTTGAAATCCCAGGTGGATTGGTGACTTGCTTGGTTGGTTTTGGTACTTTCTCTCACATTACAAATGGTTGTTAAGTGTTAAAAAAGAGTGCCACAAAACAGTCATTCAGAATGGAGCAGCGGATTACCATCAACACTTAGAAAGTGCCTTAGACTACAATATATCTTTATTGTCCATTTTGAATTTGTTGTCTAAAAGATGCAGATTTTTATTATTTTGTTAGTTATTATTGTATCCATGACTACAGCAGCAAATGCAGTTATTTCTTTTTCTCTGCCTTGCTGTTCCGTAATGTAGTTACGGTGTGTTATACACAACTTTAATCTATAAAGCTCTATCTCCATCTTACAAATAGAAAAATGAAGGCTCAGGTAAGAAAAAATACTTCTTTCTCCCAAATGTTAACCACTACACTAGCTGACAAAATCAATAGTAGAGTTCAGGTCTCAGGGGAAGTGGTATCCATTAAGCTGCTTGTTTAACAATTGAAAGAGCAGTTGTTTCATACTTGGAACTTCTAAACCTCAAATTTGCTTATTAATGGATTATACTTTCTGGAGGCCACTATTAGAATGGTTCACTGTACATCTTTCTCCTGTGAAAAGGGAAGTAAAGATTCTGACATTTACCTGCAGCTAAAGTGAGTGGGCAGTTGGCTTTTTTTGGTCAGGGTTCACAATATGCTAATATGATTGTATATTACAAGTGGATCAAGCTCTATATTGTAAAATATTGTTTCTAATAATAATCCTGATATTTCTAATATGTGGTGTTTCATAAGTTTCACACAATATGGTTGCTAATAATTTATTTCATATTTCTCCTCTTGCCTTACTTTCGATCTTCAGTAATTTTCTGGAACAACAGTTTCTTGCTAAAGTCTCTGACTCAGATGAGAAAGGCCATCATCCTCTAAGTTAAGGAGATGAAAATTTAGCATGCACAGAAAAAAACCTGAAGAGAACAGATAAAAAGCTACATTCATTATCTATCTATTCTTAATAAGTACAAAAATCTGGTACATTCATGTGTTATATAAACAAGTAATGCATAAAAATAAATTTAAGATGCATCCTGCTGAATTTATATGTTAATTCATGTACTTTGTTTTACAGGAAAAAAATAGGCTAGAATAGATCACTCACAATTGCACATGTTTCAGGTTGCTGATGTTGGTACTGCAATTAGAATAGTGGAATGTCAGCATGAATTCTTTTGTTTTACAGAAAGCAAGAAGAATTGAGGTTAATTAAAGGTTAATTAGAGTTTAATTGGTAGTTCTTTCTTTCCCTCTTTACTTCTGGTGATAACAGGAATGTTAGAATCCTTGACTTTGATGACAACAGATTGGGCAGGCCTGGTGTTGATTGCTACTGCCAACATGAAAGTGGTGCTGCAGTTCTGCAGCTCCAGTTCTTAATCAATGAGGTAAGGACATAATTACTCAAAAATTTAGTTGAATAAGTCAATTCATGTTATTGTAATTGAGTGATATGACTTCTCCCACTGACAAATTGTGCCAACAAATAAGTGGTGTACATCCAGAGGACATTCAACATACAGCCTTTTAGAAGAATATTTATGGGACTGCACTCAGGGAAGAGTATTGCCTTCCTATAATCAGTTTAAAGTACTGAACAAAAGACAGTCAATACATGAATGTGTGTAAAATTATGTAAAATCCATTAAGTTACTAAATATGCTGCACAGTTCTGGTTCAAATAGAAATTAATAAATGAGCTAAATCTTTCTATTAAAATATATTGATGGTTATTGACTGAAAACTCAATAGTTGGGGATATGCCATTACATGAAGCAATTGCAGGGATCATCAATCAAACCATCATGCTTAGTCTCTCTTTGTCAAAATCAAATTTAGACAACATGAAGAATCAGTGCCAGATTATAGCTTGCTCTTTGTAGAAGGTTCTGAAGCTGGGAATAGGCCAGAAGACTTTCTGGTGACTACAAATCAGAGGGGTTTTTTCTGAGCACCTCAGAAGTTGTCCAAATCTTAGTTCAATTTTGATTAATTTTCTCCCATGACATAAGGAAACACTTTTGACTTTTGCAAGTCCTCTTTGTAAATGGGGAGACCTTAAAACTTCTCAGAGAAAGAGTTTTAGTTTTATGGGTTTTTTAAAACCTGAAAAATATTTAATTTTTTGCTACACCTATTTGGAGAAAGTAAATGAAGCACAGACACTGAGGAGGGAGGACCAAAACTTTAGAAACTGTCCGGTGAAATTCATAAGAGGAATGCAGGGATGAGAACAGGAAGGACAAAGTTTAAATCACTAATCTTGCTTTTCATTGGGTGGCCAGCAAACCCCCTAATACATTGGATTAATTTGATTTCCATGGTGGACAGTCTTTATGACTCTTTGGGAGATGAGAATTGAAGTATGCATTACACTGTATTTGAGAAGTCTCACCTCCATAAATTTTATTTGCATAAGTCAACATTGAACATTTGCTAGGATTATAGAAGTTTATCAGTCAGTCATAGATTGTAGGAACTAATGTTTCTTGTTACATGCTTCTCCTTCCTCAGTATAAAGCATCACCTTGTTTTTGGGTAATCTGTTCCCCTCTGTCATGGTAATTAACAAGGGTAGATCTGTGCCTGGCCTGATCTGCAGTGTAAGTATAGCAAACCACTGCAGGAGCTGTAGGGAGCTTCCCCTACAAGTAATTTTCACATGTCATCAATATTCTGTGATGAGGAGAAAGGCAGTTAAAAGTTCACTCCAAGTTTCTCAGTCAGATAGAGGCATGGGCTTTGAGAGATGACCATTTTTGGGACACCACAAGCAGAACCAGTCTTCAGAGTATTTCTGATCTGTGATAAAGACTCTCTCCTTCTGTCTACATCTCTTAGTTCTTCTACATCCTGTCCTCTTGCTACCTGTCCCTACTTTCTCATTTGCATCCTTTTTTCACAGTTCCAGTTTTGAATTTTCATTTTTTTGAATTACCTTGATATGACTACTAAGCTGTGTTTGGCACTGTCACGTATGTGCCCATGCATGCACTAATCCCTTTTTTCTTTAGTTATGTCTTTGACACTCACCTTTTTAAGTAAGTGTTGTCTCTTTTCCATTTTGTTAATATTTCTGCTAATGTGGAAGACTTGAGAGTTGGCTTGTGTAACCTTGGTACAAAGCTTTAATTTGAATATTAAATTGATGGAGTTTTAATTTAACTTTGGCTGATATTGTACTAATTTGAAATGTTTACATTTACCAGATCAATTCAATTGTGTATTATTTGTGGTAGAGTATTTTTGTTCTAGAAGAAAATTTTTCATAAACTGCCAGTTTTACAGGTAGATCTTTAGCAGTGAGAATCATGTAAGAATAATACAGAGCCTGCAGAAAAATAACGTGTTGCTGTGTTTTGTGTCTGCTCTAGGGTGCTTTGGTCAGTGCGTGTGCAGATGATGCACTTCATTTGTGGAATCTCCGACAGAAACGACCAGCTATTCTACATTCTCTGAAATTTAACAGAGAAAGGTAAGAATACATGACACACAGTAGAGATCTCATTGCAAAAATAATACTTCCTGGATTTCTTATACTACATTTTGCCTTTCTACAGGTGGATATAGTTTTGCCTTGAATATTTTTCTTTCAGGTTTGTTTCTATGGAACAAAAACTTCACTTTCTCTTTCTGCAGCTTTTTCAGGACTAGAAAACTTAGTCTTCTTTTTGCCAAAATGTTCTTCATTTTACTTCTTTTTGCATGAACTGCTGTGAACACTAATTTGTTTTTTCTTCAGACTGGACACAAGCACTCACTTTTGGCTGAACTGTTGTTCAGTAATAGACAGACAGAGTACTTCAGCTGACTGTAGGAGGGTAATAATTATTTTCTTTATCTTGAAATAATTTTATTTTTGTAAAATACTGGAAGTTAAGTGGAAATAGACTGTGAATTTGGGAAACTCTGATAAGTGTAAAGTGAATCAGAGTGTTTTTCTAAATTTTACTTTATCAGTACCTAATTGTAGAAATCCCTACTAAAAAGAGATTAAATGAGTGGTTGTAATTTTTAAACTCAAACAGGAGCTGAGCACTTCAATCTGTATTTAGTCACCCAAGTAAAACCTGATAGGATGTTAGGGAACTTCAGTGCTACACATCTATTAATAGTGAGAAAAAGTTCCAAGTTTCTCTTAAGGAATTAGGGCAGTAGTCAGGAGACCAAAATTCAGTGCATAAATGCAGCAGTTGTTTTTAACTGGAAATTTAACTCATATTTTCTTTCTCTTTGCATGTACATTCAGTGTTTATTAAGGTGCACCAGCTTTTTTTGATATTTATATATTTGCTTGTGCAGTGGGAAAAGATTCCAGTACTTCACCAGAGCTATGAAGTGAACAGACTCATCAAATCTTTAGCTGCAGCAAGTCTGAAAATTATTATGGAAATACATTTTTCTTTGTTGTTTATTATCTAGATAAAAAACATATTTCCACTAAAATGTCACTGAGGGTCATAATTTGTAGTGGGAAGGAAATATATAGCCTGATTCCAACGAGTTTATAGCTTATAGCAAAAGTGTATCAAGTGGTTTGGGACTGTGTGAGGGAAGATGAAAATGAAAAATTAGATGTGCATTTCTAGCTGCTTCTGGACAGTAAATTATCATTTTACATATGGTGAAATGTTTGAATCTTGGTATTCTCATCAGGTAGGTGCATTATTCACAATTTGTCATTGATAAATCTAAATATCATAGAAGCAATTCCAGTACATCTTGGTCGAGCTCTCCCAGTCAGCAATCTGACACACAACCTAACCAATCATTGCTTATAAGAATGCAGCCTCTGTTCATCTCTGCCTTCTGTTCAGAGATATTAACCTGTTATCTTGGTCAATATTTTGTCAGCATTTCTTGCTAAGAGGAACTCACACACATTTGTGCTTTGCTAAGCACAAATATTTGTCATCACATTTACCTAATTTTCTTTTTTGTCTGACACCCTAAAACATTGAACAAGATATTTGTATGGAAGTTGTTTAGAATACTGGAAAACTTGGCTTAAAACCAAATTTTCTCTAATGACATTTTTGAATGAGGTGCAAGTAAGATCTGAGAACATAAGTTATTTGTAACAAATGCATAGCTAACTATACTGCCTTTTATCAAAATCTAGTATGTTGTGAACAAAAAGTATATTTAAATATATATATAAATATACATAAATATATGTTTATGTAATATATATACAAATATATATAAATATATAATATTTATGTATATTTTGTGTAACTGGTTCAATTGCTGCCATTTAAAGAATTTTTATTAGCACATCAGAGTCTGTGAAGCAAATATCCTGCAATATGATGTTGTCAAAGAAGTAAGTCCAGTCTTAAATTAAAAAAGTTTTCCATAAATATGAAGATATAATATTGTAGGCAGTTCATTCCTTCTCAGGGTTCTCTAGCACTGCCCTAAGATTCTGGTTGTTTTTTGTTTCATTATTATTCAAGCACTTAGCTTCAGAATGAAATTTCTTCATTTTTATTATATTTTCTTTTTACATCCATATAAATTTATTTTAAATCATCTAACTTTCAATTTTCTAAGCTCAATTACACATTTAATATGTAAAATGCAACGTAAGCCTCTGGGCAAGTAGCAAAAAAATAAGGCTAAAGCTCTAATTAACCCTCTCAGTTTGGAACGTTTATATGCCTAATAGAGCTAAGCCTAAAAGAGAACTTTCATTTTTTTCTGAATATGTTTTTGGTGTTAGAGGACAGAAGCTCTAAATTATGGAATGCTCAGAGAAATAGTGAATGAAATAACAATTTCCCTAGCTATATGAAATCTATGAGAAAATGAATGTAAGGGGAACTTGAGAAGCTGATGTAGCGATAAGATCAGTATTGATTTTCTTCAAGAAATTCAAAGGTCTGGCTTCCAAAAAATAAGGTTTTCTCACTTAGGAACAGTTAAAAATAGTTTCTTTTCATCCTCCCCTCTCCTCTTGCAGAGGGGAGTTAAGAGAAAGCAAGATTCATATTGAATAGAGATTATTTTGTCTTAAGTTTGTGAACCAGTGAACAAGCTGGTTTTAAAATGTTTCTTAAATGGGGAGAAATGCTTGTTGACAGAAAATAGGTTTAAAATATTTATGTATGTCTTCAAAAAATACTAAGGTATTGAAAGATGCCATAGAGAAGTGTTAAAAAGTAAAAGGCTTGTTCTTATAAGATTATTTCTAATATAACTTAATTTTAGATTTAGGTAGCTTTCACAGGGCCAAACACATAATTGTTCTGGTGCATTTTATATATGAAAATGGAACATGTGAATCGTTCAGATTTTTCCATTTGCATGTCTCTCTTCAGGTTTAAAAAAAAAATTAATTTTATTCATCCAGTATGTTTGTCTCCTTGTTACACTGTTTGGTTTAGTTGTTTTTTCTAACAAATGGCAGATTTGCTTCATGAAGTGATACAATATAATGCACTTAAAATTCTAATATTTTATCTGCTTGTGATGATGAAGATGATTTTGTTATTCCAAGTACTTGTTTTATTTGACTTTGATTAATTCACATTCACGTAGAATCAATTTATTCTGAGTTTTTTTGGTATTTGGTGCATGAACCATAGAGCTGTAGTTTCTGTTAGACAGATGAATGTCACTTAATTCTTTGGCTATTACTCACAATGCACCAGTCATCATGTAGTTGAGTTGTTTAATTTGCCATTTGCTCCTGCTTCATGACATTTAAGATTTCAGGATAATGGACTCAAATCTGCTCTTTAGCAGTGTTTCTATATAGGTTTCTGCAATTACTTGAGTCAAGTTTCCCCAAGTGCATACATGCATATATCCCCTCTCTCCCTCCCACAAAAGTAAAAATGTTTGTTCTTTTCCTTGGATATTGGTAAAAACATAGTTGTAAAGAGCAAACAACACTTAAAAGTAGTATTCTTTGACTTAATAGGTAAGATTCAGTATTAAGACACTGAATGGTTTATGAATAATAATTCACTAGCAAAGTGCACTTTTACAGCTATTAAATCAGAATGTGCAGCTTCTCCAGATTTAGCTTTTTCTTCTTCTGACTTACTGTTAAACCAATGATGATGCAGCACAAGCAATAATAATTCATAATTCACTGTTCCTTGACTAAGTGTCTCTTTGGAGCAAGTGTAGAAGAAACACTAAAGAGACGTAATGGCAAACAGATATTTTCTGGTTTACCGCATAATGCTCTGGACTTTGTTGGACTTAAGCTGATTATATATTTTTGCCAAAATATATATTTATTTTATATGAAGTAATCATCTTAGATTTCTATAGCTATAATTGGAATGTAATACAATGCATTAAGAACTTTCAAGAAAATACAAATGTAAGCAATGTGTCTCAGTGCTTGGCTCCATACCAAGAGCTGTAATGATAAGACAGTTACTCAAAGACATGTTTGAAAGTAGCATATGGTTGATAATACATGATTTATGGTTTCTCTTACAAATAGGGTAGACAGGTAGAACATTTTAAACTCTGTAAACATTCTATAAGAATTGCCTCAGTGTTTTTAAGGTCAAAATTGTGGACACCTTCCATATGTTAGTACCTCTTTTTCCTTCCTTGATGTCATAGGAGATGCCAGATTGATCTTCAGTAGGCATTTTAGGCAAAATAAATAACTCAGCTACTGGAACTAGACACTATCTCAATCTTCTGCAAAGAACATTAGGATTAAGCAAAACCACTGGAAACTATTATAGGTCTTCATTATTTTTAACATAATCAGAGCAGATTTCAGCAAGTACAGCTTTAAATATACAGCAGCTTACAGATTCTCATTTAATAGAAGTGCAGCTGGGTGAGGAAAACCAGCAAGGATTGCAGTGTGAAATCCAGGTCCTATGAGCCAGCAGGAGCTCATTTCACTTATGAGCACAGTTCATCTCTTGGCATTCTGAAGCTGAACTGGCTCAGGTGTGCTCACTGTCACAGGGGACAGCCCTCCTCTCTTCCTTCTCTCAGCCATTGCTGACTGCTGAGTGACAAAGGAGCCCACAGTTCTGCAGCAGCTTAGCCAGTGACTTACAGCAGCACACCTGAGCACAGTGTGGCACAGAGTGTCATTAAATCCACCTGCATGCACTCCTCACTACTGGCAAGACAATGCCACAAGTGCCCTTCTGAGGGGAGTCACCAGGTGACACAATCTGTATAACTGGCTTGGAGACTCTTAACACTTTATTCAGTGTTAAATTATGCTGGCACAGAGCAAGAGGAGCCTTTTAAGTGGGCGACTTTTGGAGCAGTTCTGTTAACTGTAACTCACTATTAATTAGAAATTTGACTCCTACAGTTGAGATCTTGAACAAGATGATTGAGAGTATTACTCCAAATGCTTGGAAACAAATTAAAACAAACCAAACTCAAAACAACAAAAAAAGAGTGTTTTTAAATAAGGTAATTTCTTGGATCTATATTCTTTCCAGACAGTAGGAATCTTATTTGCCTTACTGTATC